TCTTCAATTAAATATCGTTCATCAATGGAATTATTTTATGATTTACTTAATATGAAACCATTTTCACAAGCATTTATTAATCAATTAATTGAAAATAATTCAAATGATTTATTAGAATCTTATATTTATCTATTTCGTTATAGTCCTTTAAATTTTAAATTATTTCCATTAAAACGTGAAATTTTATTTCTTAAATTTTTTTCGAATCTTTTTCTTCAATCTAAAAATGATTTAATTAATAAATTTCATTTATTTGATGATTTTTTACGTATATTAATTGATTTAATAGATTCATCACCATGTGATGAACTATTAAATCGTTCATCTCGTTCAATATCATCATTAACATTATTATTAAATAATATTCCATATTGTTCATATGAATTAAAAATAAATTATGAAAATTTATTTCATTTTCATATAAATGTTCTTGATTGTGATACAATTAATAAATTAAAACAAAAAATAATTCATTATTTAAATTCAAATGAAAATACAAATCGTTTAATTGAATATAATGAAATTGATTTATTAATACCCTTATTAAATTCATATTCATATACAGATCAAATTCCAATGTTAAAAAATTCTTTAATAAATTCAGCAATATATTGTCAAAAAAAACTTATTATAAAAAAAGAAACAAATAATTTTATTTATCATTTATGTAAAGAAAATCAATTGATTTATGATAAAAATTTAATTGAAGAAAAATTAAAAGAAAATAAATATCGATTACAACAAATTTTTATTTATTTTTATCAACAAATTATAAATGGTTTAGATTTATTTTTCATTTTTGAAAATGAATCAATTCAAGAAAATAATCAAATTTTATTTCAACAGTAAATTTATTTATTTGTTTTTTCAAAATGATCTCATTTCAAAGGATCTTTTTTCTGAAAGTCTCTTTGCTTTTTTCGTTATTGAAACTTACGAAAACTATTCTCGAAAATTCTTGTTATCGTTATAGAATCCTAATAAAGAAAATAATTAAGTCCTTTTAATCTTAAACGAGAGATTTTCGAAATGTTTTCTTGTGATATCATATCCTACATATTTTAGTTGTACTAATATTATGTCGGAGACATAAAGAATCACAACTAGAGCCCATCAGATCCAAGACTGGTTGGATTCTATAGTCACTCTGCTGCATTGAAACCCCAGTAATACCAGCCATGGAATGAGCCTGGGCAAGTTACTCATGACTATTTGTCTCGCTCTTGTGATTAGTTAGTGTGTATGAAGAGCTCATGCGGCTGAACACAAGAACTCTGCGTCAGGTTAACTTTCTGTCAAGAGCTACAACTAATATTAGTTGTTGGAACGATATCGAGCAATTGAATCTGCCGCTAGGTAGCACTCCTTATAGTGCGGTAGCCGAAAGACAGAGATATTCCTTCTTCTCAGGAGATCTTGACACTGCTCTTATAAGAATCAAGTTATAAGGTGGCTCTTAATTTCAGAGTAGCACCTATCTGGACAATCGTGGATACTATTAAGTTCGGTCCTATCCGACGGGATCTCATTTTCACCTATTTTATTCTTAACTCTTTCTATTACAGTGTTAAATGTATACCCAAGTCAGACAATCAGACGATAAGATCTTATATCTAATTTTTAGATCTAGGCAACGAAATTTATAAGAAAACGAGAAAGCAATCTAATTATTACAAGCTGATGAACACTGAGAACAACTTCGTGAGACTTAAAAAGACTTAATGAGAGTTTTACGACTATAGAATTTACTATTTGCATCTTGATAGAAGGCGGCAGTTCAAGTTTATCGTTAAACATTCGTTGGACTTAATATTTTATTAAATTTTCATTTATGTTAAACAGAGACGTCTATTGTGACTGAAAATCTAGCGGTACCGTGATGGTATTGAAAAAAAGCTGTTTCGAATTTTACTGCTATGACTACACTGAACTAGAACTATTATTACTAATCTATTAGATTCAAAACAGTTGTTGTACCACAAGGAACATCACTAATATTAAATAATCAATAATCGTCATAACACGCATTTAACAAAATTCTAGTTTTGTAGTTTTTTTATTTTCCTTGATAGATCCTAACTAAGTTGAATTTTCATCAAAAGACCTTTCATTGGGTGTTTTGTGAAATAACATATGTTATTTACCGAATGATTAAATTGATTGAAAAATCCACTGCTTTGTAAGACTTTCAATAGATAATGCTTTCATTAAAAGAAGCATTCAGCATAATTATTCTATTGTTAGTATATATAAAAGACAGTTATATTATGTTTCATACAACATAGAGACAATGTCAATGTGTTATCACTCAATTGAGAAAAATGTTCATTATATCTCAACCATATTCAAATTTAACTAATATTTTGATAGAAACAAAAGCATAATTTGATCCTCTAAAAGAATGAGCATTTCTTGGCCGAAGTGAGTATCTCAAGTAAGAATAGTAAATAATATTTATCATGTGATGAACATGTGACATTTGATTAATATGATTTCCGTTTCTATTTAATAGATATATTCAATTGGTAAGTGAATTTATTCGACGATTAAATCGTTTAATGTTATGTCGTTCAACATGTCCAATAATCGAATCATGTTTAAATATTATTGCAGATGGATTAGAATTTATATTTGATACTAAAACAGAAGTAAGATTTTGTTTCATATAAAAGAAAAAGAAAACAATTAATTTTTTTTTTTTTGTATCTTTAAAGTTTTCATCAGAAATTAAATTATTATTTATGGATGATAAAAAATATTTTTCATCATTTAATAGAAATAATTTTCATGTTTCTTCATCAAATCATTATAATTCACAATTTTCATCAATTGATATTCGTTCCATGATACTTGACGATGATATTGCAATTGAATCTCTTTTTAAACTTTATCAATTTTATGAATTATATAGTGAACCTGTAAGTTCATCGTATTTCTGATTAATATTTTCGTAAAACTCACATATCTTTTTCGAAGAACAATAGGTAGTGTTAATCTTAGGTTAAAATTTGCTAACTTCTCCTTACGGATCTTAGCAATCGAAGTAAAAAGGTCATTGGATACGAATCTTTCTCAAGCGGATGAGGACGAAAAGACCCAGAATCCTTTCTTACTAATGAAAAAAAGATGCTGAATGACATTAACTATAAGACTTAGACTTTTCGTGATATTTAAATATCTAGTATACACTTTTAAATGTTCTAAGTAGTACAGTTTCAGATGTTTACACAGATAAATCATGACAAGTTAAACATGAAAGAAAATGACTAATAGTAATCTATTTGATTTGCCACAGTTGTCATTGAACCAATATATAATTCATGAACTGATTAATGTTCAATTTTTGAAAATAATCAATATTAGCCTGTCTAAGTTTATAAAGATACGCAATAGCGCATTAAGATCTATTGTAGAAATAATGAACATGCACAATAAAAGTCTTAATTAATTGACTTTCTTCAATGTAGTCTAGTCCATTGAAATCTCTGGAGTACAAAAGGCTCATTTGTCAGTTACATCAATGATTAGTAGAATAATAATTATAGCAAATTGAGAAAAATTGAATTTAAAAGAAAAAAGAAAATAAATAACAAGCGAAGAGAAACAAAGCAAAAAAAAAGGAGAATCAGTAAAAAATAGAAGAAAAGATGATACTGGTCGAAATTGCAGCAATAAATAAGACAGGTTATAATGAAGTTAGAGAAGATATGTGAGCTCCACTTTGTAGTTATAAAGGGGCTGTGTTAATAAATTTTTTTTTTATCATGTATTTATGTATTTCTTTTTAAATAGATTAATCAACATATTGGAGAAAACCATGTCAGTGTATTGTTACCTGTTCATCATCTTCTTGTACAAATTCGCCAATTACTTCAGTCAGATAATACNTGACTTTCTTCAATGTAGTCCAGTCCATTGAAATTTCTGGAGTACAAAAGGCTCATTTGTCAGTTACATCAATGATTAGTAGAATAATAATTATAGCAAATTAAGAAAAATTGAATTTAAAAGAAAAAAGAAAATAAATAACAAGCGAAGAGAAACAAGGCAAAAAAAAGGAGAATCAGTAAAAAATAGAAGAAAAAATGATACTGGTCGAAATTGCAACAATAAATAAGACAGGTTATAATGAAGTTAGAGAAGATATGTGAGCTCCACTTTGTAGTTATAAAGGGGCTGTGTTAATAAATTTTTTTTTATCATGTATTTATGTATTTCTTTTTAAATAGATTAATCAACATATTGGAGAAAACCATGTCAGTGTATTGTTACCTGTTCATCATCTTCTTGTACAAATTCGCCAATTACTTCAGTCAGATAATACAACGCTCATTTAACATGTTGAAGTTTATCTATGAAGAGTATTTTTTTTTTGTTTGTTCAATTTTGTAATTTAATCGACCAATAAATACGTTTGTTTTCATATAAAATACTTTATAATACACTTTTCATATATGCACAGCATTAATGATATTGATATATTTACTATATAGACGTATTTAGGATTTCCAGCAATGTTGATTATGTGAATGTGTATTATCAATTAAGATTCATCCTGTATTAAAGCTTTGAATGCTGAGAACAAAGCTAACATGAAAAAAGAATAATTTCCCAAATAATAGTTGAAGGTCATTTTTCTGAAGGTGAAATCGAACTAACTCATCAAAAACAACCTTCTGGAAATAATGTGTTATGCCATCGTGATTACTCCGATCAAGTTCTAGCAAGTAGCATAAGTCTGATTGAAAATGAAGACTCATATTTTAAGATCTTTCCTTGTTAGTTCAATAAGAGAAAATTTATCTTTTATCTACTGTATTAATAGCGACTAAATTTTAATCGCTATGCTTATGATGCTTGAAAAACAAAAACGTCATGTAGCTTTGATTATAAATTAAACTGGCTTTTCTTTTTCTGATGATAGTTATATATGATTTGAATAAGAACAATTAGCTGTTGATATAATGTCATTGCATATTACATTCATATATATATTGATATTATAAGATGAGTTCAGCATCAGAAGATTTTCTATGCACAAAAGGTTTTCGTTGAAGAGTTATATGTTTTGAAAGATCATGAACACGTGGATTAGGAATAATTTTGATTGTAACAATTGAATGAGGTAAATCAATCTAATATTGAAAATTCATATTAATAATCTATATGAGAAAAAATTGTAACTTACACGAAAATAACAATTATCAGGTGATTCAATTTGTTTAGCAACACTTGTTGGAACGAATTCAAAATTCTCAGGAAAATGTAAATCTGGCTCTTGACGAATTCTTTCACTTATTACATGTTTATACTAAACATAAATTCTAGTAAATAAATTGGTATTGAAAAAAAAAAAAAGAAATTTAAAATACATAATCAAATACGCATTGGTCATCTATTGTTAAATCACAAAATGTTGTTACTCCAGCCGATTCAACATCTCGTCTATGAAAAGAAAAACAAAACTCAATTGATTCAATTTTTATTCAGAAAAACTTTTACCCTGGAATAGGTAAACATTGCGATTGTATTTGTATTGGATCGTCTTCCCACATATGTTATCTACTTGCATATACACGTCTATTAACTCTTACTCTCAATATTCTTTCATGTATGAATGTTTCGTTTAATTAGTCATATGAATAATATAAATCAAAGCCAAGTCCTTGTTTCATAGAAATGAAAAAAAAAACTAATATACACTTAGTTGTCTTTAGTAGAGTGTCCTTCGAAATGAACATGATACTGATTGAATATCGTATACTTTTCTCTGCAAGGTAATACACCAAGTATGAATAAGGTGTACATATTTTAATGACAAAAAATTGGAGAAGGTTGTTTTTTTTTTATTGGAGAACAAATATTTGAGTTCTATGTGACATGAATCAAAGCGTTGTTGTATTTTTCTATGAAAAATTATTAATAATAGAAATAAGCGAAGAGAATTATGGAAATAATATATATAAATTCTTATTGATTTGTACACTCACATGTACGTAATCATACCTTCTTTGCTTTTCCCCTTGTTTTTCATTAAAAAAAGAAGTAATAAAAATGTTTGGTGGTCATCATTATCAAAACAATATAAAAATCTATTTATAGCGACTTGAAAATGGTAATATCCAGGACATTATGATGGATTCAGTAATTCAGGCTTTAAACGTCTAAGTTTTGGAAGTTTTGATGCACCTGGAGATTTTGCTGATTTTGAGGCTGGAGTCGGATCTTCATATGAATGGATACACTCCCTATTGAAAAGGCACGGAGAGACCATTCTTCTATTTGAATCATTCATTCTATTACGATGAACAATGAAAGAAATGAGTTAGCCGTAGTACATAAATAATCCGAAATCGTTTGTAGTCAATAGGGACACAGCTTGACGATTTAACTTACAGATATTATTTAAATCAAAATCTAAGTCTTTCACATACAGTCGTACACGGTCGTATACTGATCAATTATGATATAGAATGACAACTGTTTAGGCTGACTATTTCCAGCAATCATAAACGATACTTCCTAGTTAGACAAGACCTTTCGAAAGAATGTGATGAAAAGTTCAATTAAGAAAACATTTTCACGCATGTTTTCTTTAACACGTTTCACAGCGTGAGATGCAAAGCCTTTAGTTCGATCATTTACGCTTATATGAACACATCGGATGTGGAAATTGTTATTTATAGAACGTTGATTTTTTATCAGAATGATAAGTTATTTGTTTAACAATCATAAAAAAGACGATATTCCTAAGGACTTCCGACTACCTTTCTTCCTTTTTATATACAAGATCAAGCTAGGTTCTATCATCGGTCTTTTTAACTCGTTCGTTTTTTATTATTTTTGTCAGTGTTCAAATTTGGTTCTGATCTGCCTGCAGTGTAGTCTCCCTCGAACAAAAAAACGGCCTTTTTCCATTTCATTTTTGCATCACTTAATAAGTTGTTTTAGAAAAAAAAAATATATCAGGAGATGCAGCGTGAAAAGAACTACAATGTGCAAAGTAAAGCTTATTTTAATTTTGTACTTTTTGTTTTCAAAAGAAGCAAAATTGTGTCCGACCAATTTTCGACGCTGCGAAAAAATCATTTTTTCTGATCTCATCTTATCTCATCTTTTTATCACCTAATCTGCTTTTGTAAAAAAAAAATGTGCCACAAGATGCAGCGTGAAAAGCTCTATAATCTACAAAGTAAAGCTTATTTCAATTATGTACTTTTGTTTTCAAAAAAAGCAAAATTCTGTATGACCAATTTTCGACGCTGCGCAAACATAATTTTTTTCTATGCGAACAAGAAATTCCTTTTTCCTTATGTCATCTTTTTATCAATTAATATGTTTTCGTAAAAAAAAACAAAATATACTGTAAGATGCAGCGTGAAAAGCTCTACAATCTACAATGGAAAGCTTATTTCAATTATGTACTTTTCGTTTTCCAAAAAAGCAAAATTCAGTGCGACCAATATTCGACGCTGCGAAAGGATCATTTTTCTACACCAATGAAAAATTCCTTTCTTCTTATTTCAATAAACTGTTCTGCGTAAATTGTAGAGCTTTTCACGTTGCATATTGTGGTATATTTTATTTTTTTTTACAAAAACATATTAGTTGATAAAAAGATGAAATAAGGAAAAAGGAATTTCTCGTTCGCATAGAAAAAAATGATTTTTTCCCAGCGTCGAAAATTGGTCGCACACAATTTTGCTTCTTTTGAAAACAAAAAGTACAAAATTAAAATAAGCTTTACTTTGCACATTGTAGTTATTTTCACGCTGCATCTCCTGGTATATTTTGTTTTTCTAAAACAACTTATTAAGTGATGCAAAAATGAAATGGAAAAAGGCCGTTTTTTTTGTCCGAGGGAGAGTATAACTATCTTTGTATTTTGTTCTTTTCGTGTTTCTAATATTTTATGCGATCATAGAAATTTTGAAGAATTTTTTCTTTTTTTTTATGACTATTTTTATATTGTCAAGAAACTTATCATCAGTTGAGTGGAAAGACATTTTTACTACATCACTAATATTCTTATCAAATAAAGGATATATTATTGCTGATGTATATGATGATCGAATTTTCTTAGAGTTATCGAAATTATTGTATTTTCATTTCAGTATAAATAAATATAGGAGTTTTGAAGATTATAAATAATTAAAAAAGGGCAAAAAAAACCGTAATAGGATTTGATATGTTGAAGTTTAACATTGTCAAACGAAAGCAGAAGTCTTACAGTAATACGACGGAAAATTAACTGAGTATTTTTTAATCATCTCATAAATGAATAAATCAAGGTGGTTGAATAAAATCTATTGAAGTGTATAAGGGTCTGTTTGCCTTCTTCACTAATATTAAGTCACCTTTATTTTTATCATGATGATGGAGAAATCTTTATACAATCCGACCAAAAAATTCTGGGACACTCAATAATGTTTGTGGAAAATTTTATACTTCGTTCGAATTGAACTTTATATATATGGTAAGTGCAGTTATTGCTCAAGCTTTCATATTATGTCATACAAACGTAAAAGTTCTGGGACAGTCGTCGTTCTCCTCATCCGTCGAGTTTCGTTCGGATGAAAATAGTACCATTTGAAAGCCCATACAAAACTGAGTATAACTCGTATGTGCTCATCATTAAGATCATGGAAAAAAGAAACTTTCCATATGACGGTTTTTTGCTGGAAAACGCTACTGATCATCAGAAAGCTGTTTAAAGACTAGTAAAAGAAGAAGATATTCTGGTTTTTCTTCGCTCATCTTGAAGAGCAGGAAAAACTGAACAAAATGACACGTCTCCGAACTCTCTAACACCTAATACGGATGCGGTAACTGATAAAGAAAAAGAAAAATGTATTTTATTCCCTTTTTCCATATAAAATTGACTGAAATAACGTCAAACTATGTATTTCTATCTTGTCCTGCGCTATTTCACATGCTAGAGAGTTTGGAGGCGTGTCATTTTGTTCAGTTTTTCCTGCTCTTGAAGATGAGCGAAGAAAAACCAGAATATCTTCTTTTTTTACTAGTCTCTAAACAGCTTTCTGATGATCAGTAGCGTTTTCCAGCAAAAAACCGTCATATGGAAAGTTTCTTTTTTTCCATGATCTTAATGATGAGCACATACGAGTTATACTCAGTTTTGTATGGGCTTTCAAATGGTACCATGTTCATCCGAACGAAACTCGACGGATGAGGAGAACGACGACTGTCCCAGAACTTTTTGTCCATGGGAAGTTTTTGTTCTTTTATTTTATTTAAATTAAAACCAGAACTTTTACGTTTGTATGACATAATATGAAAGCTTGAGCAATAACTACACTTACCATATTTATAAAGTTCAATTCGAACGAAGTATAAAATTTTCTACAAACATTATTGAGTGTCCTAGATTTTTTTGGTCGGACTGTATTTCTCTTTACATTCGTTGATTTTGCTCAGATTTGACGAATAAGTATGTTACGAATCAAAAGTGAGAATAATTCATTTCACTCTTTCTCTCTTTCCATTGTGCAGATGATAATATGATATTTTAGTATTAGTCGATATATTCAACCATTCACGTAAATTGCTAACTTGTTTTGTAACGAGTCGTGAGAACGGTTTATAACATACTTGAGATAACATTTTCTTATCAGCGAAGTAAATAAAAATATGAATTTTATGATTACGTTATTGAAATAAAAAAAAACACGTCTGTATGGGCTTTATTTCTCCGATCACAATAAACAGTAGATTTTCAGGCGTCATAAATTCTCATCGCTTTAAAATAATTCAGTATATTGAGTATTCTGCTCTTGAATAATTTTCATATATTCACATCATCATCCTCAGACAATATTTCAGGTTCGTAAAAGATTACTTTAATGATATAATTATTTATATACATCTCGGGGCAAAGTATACGAAATCTGTATACGTAAAAACACAACGATTTAGAGTAGTTTACAAACGTGTTTGTTCGACTTGGGATATTGAAATGTGCATTTTTTCGTTTTTTCTGTTTAGTTTTTATTTTGTTCGTCTCTGTATTATATCTGTTACTTTCCCTATTTGTTTCTGTTAATCGCTCATTCATTCAATCATCTATTCTTTGTATGATACTATCATTTTTGTTTTTCAGTTACGATAGTGACCAATTCATTTTTTTTAAATAGTCTTTTTATTTCTATTCATGCATTGCTCGCACATATTTTCTGGCAACTTATTTCCTCTGTCTTTCGTATAATCAGATAAGAGTTAATATAGTTGGTAGATCGGCAATCGGAACGAATGGTTGAATGCGAGCCAGTCTTTAAATTTTTAATGCTTTCATCAAAATCTTTTAGTCTGATATCAGCAACGCAGATGCATGTTAAATGATTGAAGGTTATCGATAATGTCAGTTGTTCGTCTCTCTTTGTATTGTTTAGAGCAAAATAGAATTGCACGTTTCTAGTTTTACTGTTCACGTCAACGGAGATGAGCAATAAGCAAATAACTATAGTTAGATTTCAATAATAAGTTTCAATTATACTTATATGATATTACATAAGTTTTGGGTCAATTTTTATTTGCT